AAATGTGAAATCCAAGATTTTTGTCATAGGTGAAATAGGGAGTAGCATCTTATTCCTCCTCCTTCAAAGGCCACAGGGAAAAACACAAAGGGTTTTGTCTTTGGCCTTAAGACAAGGATGAAGTGTTTGTTACAGAGAAGGGGAGTGATTTGTTTTCTTATTTCTAAGGAATAACAAGTTCACAAATTCACCAGCTGATGGGGATACTTTGGGTCCACGTGCGTATATTAATTCTCATGTTAGATTTTAACCATTCAACCTTCCCTGTTTCTACACAATGGGGAATCTGACATAGTTATGAGAAACTAGGACCCTGCAGTGTTCTAGATTTGATTCCAAAAAAGGTGCTTGGAGGTGTACAGCAGCATGACTGTAGCACCTACCCATAGTTTGTTATGAGCCAATAATCTGTGCTTTAGGGGAAAAAAATACCCCCAAAGTCTGAGCCCCTTTTCTGCTTGCAATTTAACATAGCTTACAAAAATACATATTTGTAGGATTAACAGAAAGGGTACATAAAGTCAGTAAGGAATGGAAATTTGATCACCATAATTTCTCATAGCAGATAACATAGATTTAGCATTTATTACTGCCTAGGAATTCACATTGTTCTGTGATGTTCCTTGGGGTTGTTTTTAAATCTGATGTGATTTAGCAGGTAATGTGAACTCACCCATATATTAACTATAAGTAGTTTTCCATTTCTATAGCTTAAATAATGTTTATATCACAAACAAAGGAAAATAGTATTTTTACTATGGTGGAAGTGACGAAGAATAGATATACATATTTTAATTTACTTCCCATTATGTATGTAGAGAAACTGTCTAGAGATAAATTCAATTTCTTCTTTGGATTAACCTTTAGATTCCTATATATTAAGCAAAATAGGCATCTATTGCTTTTTTAGATTATCTGAAACCATTTTTCCTCCTCTACCATCATCTATTTTGTTAAAAATAACCTAACAGTTTGTGCTTCAAATTAGATACCAAATGTTTTTGCTCCTTCGTTAAGATATTAATGTTATTATCCAAAAATACATTATCTTACCAATTACAGGAGCCAGAGAACAGTTAAATTAGTACAATCAAAAACACAGTACTTGTTTTATTGAAGAGCTTTGGCATTCGCTACTAATCTGCACCATTTATGCCACATGTTTTCTTATCACTAATTACAAAATTATGTAGGAATCACAAAATATTTGACTTTCTGTGCAACTGATAAGTTACAATGCCAGCTTTTCTCTGCTAATAGAATAATGAGAGGAAATGAGCTAAAAGTCAAAGATAATTACCTCACTGGTAGATCACTGTTATGAAACACAAAAGTAATACATATGTCTGATCAAGGGAAAAAAAGGAACATAGTTCAGTTGTAATACTGTGCGTTGGCAATACCATGGGGAATACTCAAATATAACAGTGTCAGCATCATGGCTAGTCAAGTATATGTTACAACCACAGTTCAATACTGTCTGTAATCCTGGACAACCTCAAAAATGAATATTTTTGTAAAGAAAAGGACAACTCAATATCAACAGGCATGTGGGTCTTTCTCTCTTAGGTGCAAGCTGGGACATGATAGACATATAAACTTGTAGAAATGACTGAGGTATTAAAACCTGGAGTCATCTAATGAAGATAAGGAATAGGAGGTTCAAGATAAAAATAAATATTATGGAACTTGCTACCAGGACATACAGTGATGGTCACCAGTATGAATAGGCTGAAAAGGAGATTAAACAAGTACATGGTAGATGGCTACAGTCAGATTATGCATGCAATATCAGAAACAACAGGCCTCTTAGTATCAGTTGCTGAGGAGCACAAGTAGAAGAATGCTGTTGTGACCCCTTCCTGCTTGTGAACTAGATATCTGATTTGCTGCTATGGCAACACGGTACCGGATTTTGATCATATCCAGCTGTTACGTCTAACTAATTCTTATGGAATTAATCAACAAGCCATGTAAGTCATACTCGTAAACAAATCCTATCAAGTTCAATGGGGCTTATTTCTCAGAAGGTGTTTACAGAGTTGCAGTTTTAAATCATTTCAGCTATTTGGTTCTATGATAACCCTGAGTTCCTCTATCTTTCCTTTAAAAGATACACAGAGTAAAAAATGCCACAAAGTGGACAATCCCAATTAAGAACAACCAATCATCTGTACTTTACTGACATGAGATGCAAAGGACTTTTGTTTTAAAATGCCTTAATTACCTGCAGAAAATGAAGCACAGTACAAAAGTCAGTTCCAAGTTTGTGAGTCTCTGAAACTGCCTTTCTTTTCTTAAATTATTAGAGCTAGATTTCTCAGCTTATTTTTGCAAAAGCCTCATTAAAGGATGAATTTTCTCAAGTAGGAAAACCGAGAAAAAATGTCAAAGTAGTGCTGGTAAACCATACTTGAGTTTCAATGCACAGGACTGGAGCATACATGCGTATAACAGTTACAGAGTTCAACAGAAAGTATTCTGAGTTGTCCCAGATGTCAACAAAGAATCAATGAACTTAAAAATTACATCCTGGGAACCATTTCTTTTTATGATGCTCCCTAATTTAAAGGAAGAATAAATTAAAACTGTTGCAGCTACTATAGAATCTTGAGAACAAAAGATAATAGTCAAATACGATAGAGACATATTTTGTAGAAGACAGGTCTGAGGCTCCCTTTATGTTTTCTGGAATGCATGTTAGTCATTAGTTTTTATTCCAGAATGCTAGGTAAATCTGATACCTGCAATAGCTGCTAGCAATTAATTAATTCAATCTACAATTATCTTCTTAAAACTGACTCTAAACAGCAAACCTCAGGGCCTGTTCGTATTGCGTTTGTGTGCAACTATTTTTTTTTTTAACTTTGGTTTCCCCTTTGCTTAATGAAAAATTCTGCAGAACTAAAAAGCTTTCCAACTCTTTGGCATCACTACTGGGCCTAATAAAGATACTTACTATATTCTCCTCTTTGTTAATTATATTATGTGAAGAAGAAAGAAAGAAACAATGTCCAATCATGTACAGTGGTACCTCGGGTTACGAATTTAATCCGTTCCGTGACTCTGGTCGCAACCCGATTTGTTCGCAACCCGAAGCAAATTT